CAACGTGGCGGCCAAAACTACTTTTTGCTTATATCCTATTAAACGTGTAGTAGTTACGCTCAGATGTGCTGTAAACGCTACCACATCATCTTTTCAACATTTTCCTTGAAGTTTAAGTGCAAATTTTGTGTTCCTTTAAACAACTTACTCATTTTAAGAAAATGGTGCGGGTTTGAAAAACCAAATCACTATTATTTTGTTTAAGATATGACCCCCTAATCGTTTTTCGAAGGCAAAATCATATAACTTTCATTTTCATAAAAACGATGTCACATGACCTCTTAGTGCAAATGCATGGTCTATTGTTGAACGTGTTTTGTTGTTGAAGTCGATGTATGAAGGAGAGAGGAATTTTTGTTGATTTTCTTTAGTTGTTGATTTAGGCATACTTCGAATGTTGATTATTGTATTAATCGTTAAGGTAGGACGGTTTTTGTTGTTGATGTAGAAAAAAAATTTTGAACTGCAGATTGGTTGTTGATGTTGGTAGTGATTTTGATTCGTTGAATTTTGCACCATTCCGCCTACCATAGTATGCTGACCATTTGGAGAGCTCCAAACGGTCATGTGAGTTAATCGATCAATTCAAAATGAGATCGACCTTTTTTTTTTCTTTAAGGAAACAGCTCAGCTTAACTTCGTCATCATGGTAGAAGGAGCTCGGCAACTATCCCCAAAGGAGCTCCTCGTCTATGAAGCCTTGAAGAATGCAGCTACAATAAAAGACATTAACTCTCTAATGTCAGAAGACGAAGTAAATTATAAGTTGGTGGATGATTACCTGTTTAGAGAAAATACGTCGAAGACATTGGCTGGACTGACAATGCAAAAGGCATTGGGTGGATGGCCACGAAATCGGAAGAAAGTGGTTCAGTTACTGAAGATTCAGATTCAGAAAGGAGCAGATTTTCTCAGAACGTTGGCCGTCGAAAGCAAAAGCCAAGCGCCTCGTGATCGCCTAAAAATTTTACTGGAAATCATCTTTTCAGAAAGTATTGTTCCTTTGGAACCGGAACCAGACGCTGGGAACAACAATAACCTCAATTTGGAAGAAATTGCCGCTAAAGCTACGGAAAACACAGGTTTTCTCTGGGCTATCGATGGCGTGTATCATTACTATTGCCACAAAAAGAATCAGAATTCGGTGCCAGCTGCCCCAAGTGGTCAATACAAGACCCTCGAAATCAAAAGAAAAGAACTGCTGCTCCACAAAATCGAAGCTGATCCATATTTCCGTAGCTTGACATGGCTTCTGGAAACAAGCTTTCTTCCTAAAGGTGACAAGGATGCCCCGAATCCCAAGAGCAGATATCAATATCAATCGCTTCCAGGGAGTGAAGAATTGAATGATGATGACATCATCCTGGGAACACTACGGCTTGTTTCTGACATTAGAGATGAAATACCAGCCACTGATTCTTACCTCAAGAGAGAATATCAACATCTTTCCGACCAGTCAGAAGAATTCGCTGTGGCACTAATTGATGAGGTCCAAGACGAAAAAGATCTTTCTGCAGTCATTATGATGGATGATAAATTCAGTGGAGAAGATGCCTTCAAAGATTCGTTGACATGGACGAGAGAAGAAAACGTTTCATTGATCCAACGTGCCATCAATCTACGATGCAAGGCTGTAAGTATTAATTCATGAACTTGGATAGGGGGTCTTACTTTACTACCCCTTTCCGCCTTCCCAACATTTTGAAAATGCACCAAAAAAACATATCAGTCCTTTTTTTTAAGGAGAGGAGGGGAGAGGAGAGAAGAATTTTACATTGAACCATGATTATAACCAAAATTTACTTTCCTGTTTTCCAAATCAAGTTTGTAGTGAGCAAGAACTGCCAGCATCTGCTTAAGAAAGTGGTATTTGGCCAATCGTTATACAGACTTTGGGATAATGCAGGAGTCATGACCGACACAGGGATGCTGTCACTTTTGACTCTTTTGGGGAAGGTTATTCTAAGTTTCTTTTGTGCTACGTTTATGACTTTCCTCGCGGTTCCAGTATACGTTGTTCTCTCACTTGTCAGTTGGTGCCTGAATATTAAGTGGTCTGCCTGTAGATGTTTTGAGTTGTTGGAGCGCCCATGCCAGAGATTTCTCCTTGAACTATGGTGGTTCATAGGCTTCCTCAGTCTGATCATTATTACATCAAGTGAAAAGAATTTCCGCAGTCAAAGATTGCCGTCTGGTTTGAGCTTGCCAGGTAAACACATCTTATTCTCAATATCTTACCCTCAGTAGCATTGTGATAGTTCGAGAGTTGGGTCAAAGGGCGCGCCCGTTGTGGCTGAAAATCTCCTACCAAATCTCCGGAGAGATCGATAGTCATTTCACACAGGGCTTTTACTGCCATTCGGCCTACATGTATCATATTTTTCGGAGTATTATATTTTTTTTTATGCGATACTTACTTTGCTTTAAAACAAAACATCATCATCATCCTCTATCGTCTATCATCCTCATTCGTTCTGATTGTTCTACTATTAGTAAAAATGCTGTGTGGATTAGGTTCTCTTTTTTATTTACTGGGGGTTGGCGGATAAACTAATCTCGGACTTCGCCTTTTATTGTTGTTCCGCCATGTATTCTTCCTTGTATGATAAATCTGTTAACAACGTAATAAACAAACAAATCAATCCGTCAATCAATCAATCACCATTATCATCATTACCACCACCGTCATCATTATCGTCACCACCACCACCACCAACAACAACATCATCACCATCACTACAATCATCACCATTACCATTACCATTGCCATTACCATTACCATTACCATAACCATCATCATGACCGCCATCATCACCATTATTATCACTGTCACCATCATCATCATCATCGTCATTAACATTACCATCAGCTTCTTCACCATCATCATCACAACTGTTAATTTTTATTTTCTCTTGTCAGATATTTTGGTGTTTGTTTTCGTGGTAACATTTTCGCTTCGACGCCTCATTTGTTTTTGGCGTTATCTTTTTACGATTCCACGTTACCGGCGAAACTGGCGCCTTATTCTTCCAGAGTTCCTCACTTTTGTGGAATGTGCCAGCTTGTTGTGTTTTACTACAGCGTTTTCGCTGTGGATAACACGATGGAATGATCTAGATGGATGGCGACCATCAGATGAAGACTATCAATTGGATGACGTTTTTTATTCCTTGGCATCGTTACTTAGTTTCTTCAGGCTGGCCCATTATCTAAAGGTTAGGGAAATTATTAACTCAGATTTAAAATAAAGTCGAGAAAGAAATGGATGGGTGGATGAATAGGGGGGCGATAACAAAATAAACTGTTGTTACTTTTTTCCTTAGGCTCATCATACTTTGGGCACCTTAAATCTGTCTCTCTACATGATGATCACGAAAGATGTCTTATATTTTGCAATCATCTTTGTGATGCTCCTTTACATTACTTTTGCGACCGCACTGGAGAAAATGTATTCATACTTCGTCGTGGACAGTGGCAAGAATGCAACTCACCCACTAGCCAGGTAGGCGGCTAATATAGAGCAGTCTTCGTGTGACTGTGAAAAGCTCGCGGCACGAACACGGTCGTGAAATGATACAGGGTAATACTAATCCTGAAAATAGCACGGTTACGACAAGGCACCCAATCTTCATCCAATCAAATGTATAAAGAATGCGACCCACCAACTAGCCAGGTAAGGTAATTATTATACCCTGCTAAAATTAAGGCCAACATGCAACTTAAACCAAAATTGATGGATGACGAGACTTACGTTCGTAATTCTCAGTTCTTAACCCCAATAGGCAGTTTCCTTGACGTTCGAGAAAATTTAGAATTTGACTGATTTTTTGAAGGGAGGAAAATTGGAGAACCCATGAAAAAACTCTCGAAGCACAGAAGAGAATCAAAAAATGCAAAACCATACAGTCTTTACAGGTTTTGTCGTAACGTTTGTCTTTTTTTCTTTCAGCTACACGAGAACCTACGATAACTTGCTTTGGGCAATGCTGGGATCAGACGAGAGGGAAGAGAGTGAAATCAAAGATACTCGCTATGCCTACATTAAGAAATGGGAGGAGATATATATCGTCATGTTTATTGTTTCTGCTGTTATTGTTGCGTTTAACATGTTAGTCGCCACAATGAATCACACTTACGAGAACATCATGGTAAGTATATATAAGTCATTTGAAGTGTTTCCGCGCGCGAAACAAACGGTTCTGACTTACATGTAAAGCAACATGTACTGCCGTAACATTGAAATGTGGCTTCTCGTAAGAATGGTTCTCGTATGAGTGGGAAACATATGGTTCTGACTTACAGAACGTACGCGGTACGACATACCGTAATATTGAAGTGGCTTTCAGTGTCTTTCAGTGTCTTTCAGTTATTCATTGAGAACATGTAGTTGTATTTATGGCACATGAATAAGGCTGCAGTACGACTACACCTATTTATCGTATCGTTTCCCACTTATTTGAAAACCACACTCTAAAGCAAAACCTTTACTCGCTACATCATTCCCATTCTAATCTGTGTGTAGTTGGCTTTTTCTGTATTTTGTATTTTCTGCATTCCTTGTCGCCTGGCACGTCTTCCAAAATAATCTTCCTTTAAAGACTTGACGCGAAGTTCACATTTTATAATTATATTATTTAGCGGAACGTCGATAAGGAGTACGTGTTTTCTCGCACGAGGATGTGGATGGAATACATCGCTAAAGACCGCTCGTCCCTACCTCCACCTCTAAATCTGGCAGACATCAAATGCCTTTGTACGGTAATGCATTCTGTCGTTATTATCATCCTCATCCTCATCACCCACATCGTTATCTTCATCACTATCATCTGCATCGTCATCACCACCACAACTATCATTATTACCGTCATCTTCTTCGTCATCATCATCATTGCCGTCATTGAAACATTTCCCCTCTTTATTCCAGGCAAGAAACAAGGCATTTCAAGAAGACCGCTTCAAGGAAAAGCAAAAAGAGGTAAACGAGTTGTTGAAAGTTGTTA